TGGTGGTGCTACAACCCAATTGTTGTCAACACTTGCAGCAAAAAATCGAATCTCTTTTATTTAATTGTCAACAGGCGGAAAAAATATCTCTACAGGGTTGTCTGCACCTCACCCAGTTATATTTGATAACGTGTAAATTTCTAGAACCCCAACTACATTTACATCCGGGTCGTTTGTTTTTGGCCAAATGCCTTTACTTCTATGCCATCAAGGCGATAAACATGATACACGAGCTACTGATGTGGTATCCAAGTGTTCTGCCACCACGTGAAGATCCCGTCTATGATCGTTCAGATGCCCTCATCACCGTCATACAACATTGCCTCATGTGCACGAAATACGATATGGCAAATACCGATTTGCGGGGTAAATCTCTAATATCAAAATTACGTTTTGAATATCATTACGAAGCCTATAAACCCCAAGTCAATGATGTCATTGCAAACCTGGTAGAAAAGCTAAAAAGTTCGAAGCTAAATGATAACATCACCTTTGCTTTTGGTTTATTTTCGTATCGCCTGTATCCCCTCAAGGCCGAGAATATTCTCATAAAACCCCATCTTCTGCCCTTGGCTAATGAATTTTTCGATCAGGCATTACAAAATACTGATTATGATATTCGCATCTCGGCGCTATTGGAGATTATATCGATAATTGTTAAACCATTTCCCCAAGATTGGAATGTGGAAGTGTATTTGGAATTATTTTCGCGATTCCTAAATGCCTTTTCACGTAAAATAATTCAGGAAGCTGCCGCATGTTCGATATTGCGTTTGCAGCGTTTTGGCTATGTGAATTGTTTTAATCGTTTGCGTTCGTTTAAGCCCACCTATGAATTGGAACCACGTACCCAGGCAATGTTTAAAAGTTTTGTGCATCGGAAAAAATGGGATTTCCTCAAGCAAATACAGCAACAAAATCCGATGCAGTAATGTAAGAAATGTTAAAGTCCCATGGTACAATAATGCAAGGTGGTAGGGCAACTTGAGGTGAATAACAAATAATGCAACTCTGTAGATAGTGGCTTCTTCTGCAACAAGTGTGTTTATTTGATATTTCTTCAAAAATATTTCTTCAAAAAGTTACAAAAACGCGAAAAATCAATAAGAATGATGTGCTTTCTTCCGAAAATCCAACAGGGAATACCATGAAATTTCTCATGGTACAATATTACAAGGTGGAAGGACAATTTCAGGTGAATAAAAAAAAAAACAACTCTGTAGATAGTGGCTTCTTCTGTCAAATATAAAAAACGCAACAAGTGATTGTGTTTATTTGAAATGTCAGAAAAATTTCTGTCTCATCCATAACATAGTAATTTATTACAAGCCAACACAAAATATGCATTTTGATTTGATAAGCTTGGGAAAAGATTCTTGCAGTACGGGGACAGACCATATGTTTCAATAAAAAGCAGACCTTCCGTCGGCGATTCTCAGACTTTCTCCTATGGGCGGAAAATTCGGCTAGGGAAAAATGTTCTCTTATACTTAAAATTAATTTTGAATTAGCCTTCACCCGGGAATTTATAATCTGTTCTATGGTGAAAAATTTCACTGAAATTAAATAATTATGTTCTCAATAGCCGAACTATGGACGGGTGGGAAAATTCGGCTACGCGAACAAAAATTTATTTTCAATTCAATTTCAATATTCTTTATTGTGTAAATATGGACAGAAGGGTCTGAAACTTTTCGAACCTTTCTCGCCCTACGTGTGGCTCTTCAGTCCATTGTGTAAAAGCAATAGGGCTAGGGCTACAACATTATCAGGGGACCGTTGGTAAAATTACAGTTTCCTTGGTGAAATGTTAGATTTCATGGTTCACAGTCTTTATTTTAAAATGTCAATACTACTTCATACAGAATATTGTTAAATAAAAATCTATATTTTTAATTATTATTCAAAAAAAAAAAAACATTAAATTTATTTGTAAGTCTCGTTCCAACTTCTTGTACATTATTTATTTATATTACGCCAAACTGGTGTTCTGTATTTTATAAATACTTAAAAAATAAGCTACAATTATTTTTATAGAATATCATTACTTTTTTCACAATCATTTGCTTTTTTTAACTTAATTTATTAATAACACTTTGTATAATTTTTTCACTTGTTTCTACCATTGCCGTTGTATAGAAAAATAACCAACAAATGTATATTTAATATAAATTTACAAATATTTGTAAAATAAGTTAAAGATTTTAGAATATAATAATTATAAGTTTTTGCCAAAAATAAAAATTATATTACATACTTATTTGTTAAATAATTAAAAAAATCCCATTTGAAAGAACTACTTATAAAAATAAAAAAGATTGAATTTTGTATATTTAAAACAAAAATTGTTTTCCTTTTTTTATTTTTCAATCTTCTACAAATCACGGGTACAAAGAAAAAGAAGCTATTATTATTGATATTATTATTAGGAGGATGGTGCGAATAGTTTCGATGGCTAAAGAAATTGGACAGAAAAACATATTACGTGCTAAGGTTGCACTTTCCTAACCACTTTAGGTTTCTAATGATGTTGTAGATTAAAGCTGTAAAGGTTCCATAGTTGAAAAGAAGCTTAGAGACGGTGGAAAGTGAGCAACCACTAGTATGTGCCGTCTGTAGGCCAGAACTGGACAGCGACACAGGAGATGCTCAATTGTCTCCGTCTTCTCCTCCTCGTTAGCACAGAGTCTGCAGTAATCAGTAACATCATGGTCCCATTTTCTGGTAAAGGCCCTGATGTTGCAATGACCAGTAATGACTCCTGTCATTACTCTTAATTCAGTTTTGCTCAGGTTCAACAGTGAGTGTGTCCTTTTGGTAGTCAGAGTCGGCCAAATAGATCTTGATTGTTAGATCGTCTAGCTTATTCGTCTGCTCTTTTATTACCCATGATGTCACGGTGTCCTGGTACGCAACACAGCCAATAGCTATAAGCAAGTTCTTCCAAAGCTGTTCTACACTCGAGGATGAAAATGAATACAGGATATTGATGACTTTAAGAGCCGCCTGACTATCCACAAAGATAGTCACCGGTTCAACTCTGCATCTTTTTATCAATTCCGCTACCTTCCAAATAGCAAAGATTTCAGCTTGGAAAACAGTTGCTATCCAGCTTGTAGGTAAGTTCAATGCCTAGCCTTTCACTGTAGACGCCAGCCCCTGTACTTTCTTCCATCTTGGATCTGTCTATCCAGACCGTCCAGAGGAGGGTTGCTACGTTTCCAGTCGTCTCTACTAGGGATAATGACATCTATATTGTCAAATCTGAGGACTGGTGATATATAGTCGCGTAGTTTTACGCGTTGATCCAATGTCATAACTGGTTCGTTCAAGATACAATCATGCCCGTAGGTACAATATCGCCAAAGATTTTGTTCATGCAGCCTTAGGGCACTACGAGCGGACATACACTTAATGCTGAGGCCCAGAGGCCATAAAGTTCAGCATTGCGTTCTGCTCCTGTTATTAGAATCGAGGCGGCTATTTTTACCTTGTCTAGTTTGCTGAATGTTGACTTGTGGCGCAGGCAGTACAACCAGACAAGATAACCATAGCTGCCTTACCAAGGTGTTATACATCCAGTGTATAGTCGATGATTTAACTTACAAGAAAAACAAAATTTCTTCTTCTGTAAAAAATAGCAATAGAAAAAATGTTCTTAAAACCATTGCATTTAGAAAAAAATGTTTAAACGTCTACAATGACCCTAGAAAAATACTTTAACAAAAAATCCAAGATTACAATGGTCCTAAGAATTCTCGAAATATAAAATATATGTCTGAATTGACCGCTTCAAAATATTAAAAACTAAGCTCTTAAAATTTCTCGCCTACGATGGGCATTGATACAAATATTATTTAGAAAATACGCGCCCTAGAAAATGACCCTTAAAAATAGTTCTAAATAATCTATGCCTACACTCGCATTTCATCGTCTCCCTTGAAAATATTAAAAATTATTGCAATACGAAACGATTAATTTATTTTCTTTTCGATTTCAATGTGCATTCAAGGCAAAAGTATTCATTATCTGTTAATGGTCATTGGACATATGCACATAAAAAATAATAATTGAAAAGCGAACACTTTATTTCTGTTTTCATTTTAAACAAAGTTCAATAAGTTATCATGGCAGCTGTAAACAAAAATGTTTAATATGAATTGTATATGCCGCAATATTATTCATATATCAATATTATTGATGTATAGGTTTATTAAGGAAAATTAGAGTCATTCGGGGATATTCCATTATCCCTGTCCCAAACAATTAACAAGATTTTATAGATTGCTATTTATACTATATATCGTACACTTTTATTCAATTCGTTATATTAAATGCTTTAGAATGTTTTGGAAGCATCGAATTAAGTAGTTTTAATTAGTAGTTTAGTTTATCGTAAAACATTTAGAATTTGATTCCGTTTATTAGTTTAGCTTCTGATTATATACAGTAGAATCCCTCAATGATTCCATTTTACATAGAAATCAAGTCTATAGGCTTCGTCATGCAAAATTTAAATAAATAGCTATACTTTACTGTGGTAAAATATCGGCATGGCCTGTTTAATAATTCTGATTGTTGATTTCAGACAATGTACTACCACCACCAGCAATTGATTGAAATAAATATGTAATGCAAGTGGATGGACATACAAACTCAAATGACTCACAATAACAAAGAGCAAAATTATTTAAAGGTACCCACCAAAAAAGAAAATTAGCATATGATGAAGACAACAAACAATGGACATTTTGTTTTATTTTGCAGTCCCAAAATAACAAACCACGCTAATTGATTAAATTTAATCTTTATTATTGTTATAATGCATTAAATACGATACAGTCCATCATTTCACATTTTTTTTTTTAACAAAGCCATACAAACAAATGTTTATTACTATTAATACAAAAACAAATTCAAAATATTTCGATAAAATTTAACAAAGAAACTTGACTTTTCCGTACATTAATATTATTCTTCATCATAATGATGGAACACTTTGATGTTGTTTACTTGGCATTAGCAAAACCAACACGATCATTGCCCATATCAAATTCGGTATAATATTTACCAATGAAAACATCACCCAAAATCCATAGAGGGCCATTGGGTGGTGGTATTTCAATACCCATGAAACCAGACAGACAAATTGTTTTACCCATTTGAGCCACACGCAATACATAGTCTTTGCCCTCAAGTTCGAATGTTTTGCCGCCGAGCACAAACTTGATAATCGGTAAATTGGGAATAGCTAAGAAAAACAGAAAAATCTCATATTACAAAGACCTATTACTAAAAATATATATTTATCTAAAGCTTACCATCACAAGACACCATATATTGACCACCCATAATGGGCGTACCACCAATTGCCTGATTTATAGATGTTGCTTCAGTGGGTGGCAAAGCTATCAATGAAGTACCGGTATCGGCAATTACTTGGCAACCACCTTGACACAATTTCAAATCACCCATTGATGCCGAATCCATTTTGATTTGCCAATAAGCCTTGCGTGTAACGGGCAAATATGTAAAATCACCAGTATAGTGCTCAGGATCAGAGCCACCAAAAATGATTTCACCACCTTCGGGTGCTTTGGGATCACGATTTAAATAGAATGAGAATACGGGTTGCGATATCAAACCCTGTTCATACATCTGATAGAATGGTGGTTTAACACCATCCACCGATATGGAGCTATAGCCCAAACCCAAGATACCATCAAATTTGGCAGCAACAAATACCAAACCGGGTTCACTCAAAGCTTCGGCAAAGGTTTGATCTTTAATATCCAAACCACCAATATTAACCGTATCCGTAGACAAATATCCCGAAAGGCTACCCGAGCCATAGTGTATGGCAAAGTCAGTGCCGTTTTCCTTAAAGGTCTTGGACTTGCTGGCATCGTATTTGTTGTGCATAAGGCAGGCAATATTTGTCAAATGGCATTTCTTACTTGGCACCCATAAGTTCGACGAGCCGGTATCGAAAACTACCTTGAAATTTTGTGGTGGTGTGCCAATGGAAATGGGCCCATAATATTGCGCATCCAAATAATTTGACAATGGCTCGGGTGTAACACCACCAAATCCATATTTCAAACGCAATTGTTGCAGCTCTGTGCCCACCTCGTAGAAATGTTTTCGTGCCGATTTAATTTTCTTAATGGGAACGCGTATTAATTTCTCCTCAGCAAAGCTCACCGGGAGCAATAAGCTGAGTAAGCTTATTAGAATGACGAATTTAATCATGTTTTCCACTGCAAAAAAGAAGAGAGGGGGTCGAAAGAAAGAGGCAGAGGTCATTACTTTGTTCTTTTCTTTGTTTAAATAACTGTTAACATTTAAGTGTGGAAGCCATATTAATTCCAAGGAAAACAGAAAATTAAAAACGAAGTATTTTCTAATAAGAATTACATTGTATTGCACATTTTGACGACATACATACCTTTTCTTTGTGGCTATATTTTGTGTGGTGGTTCTTCTCTCAGGTTCTTAAACAAAGTCGTTGTTTTCTCGATGAAATTTAATTGCGGAATAATAGATTGGAATAATTTTCGCAAAAAAACAAAAAACATTGCAGATGTCAATTCATCGATAATATATTCAAGATATCGATATTATTAAATCGATATAAATTATCACACTTGATTATTAGGCGTAGTACACAATATCAATTTTTACGAAAAGGGCTTATGCCATGTTCTGACGGGCATTCGAACAACATAGTTCGCTCTCAGAATTACGTACATTAATTAACCAGTTCGTACAACATTATTCTTAATTCATGTCATCAGAGTTTTTTATTTCAAACTTTTTGTTTCTTGTTTTACACCAAAACTCTAAAGGGCTAACACAAAACGATAACACTAACGCATGAAGTTGATGTGCGCTGCGCTTTGAAGTTAAATATATTTTAACTTTTTGCGTGCGTTAACGCGATAACAAAAAACGCTCAACGCGAACGCTAATTAGAACCAAGGGGAAATAAATTCATATTGCATTATGTAGATAACGGCCTTGATGTAAATCCAACAAAGACATACCTGGTAATGTGCACTAGGAAGCGTAAGCTCGGAGTTTTTGCTCCACTACACTGGATGGAGTGCAACTTCATCTATCTCCCGAAGCAAAGTACCTTGGCACAATCCTGTCAACTGGAATAGGAACGCTGAGGAACGGGCGAAGAGGGCGCTGATTGCACTCTATGCATGCAAGAACTCCATTGGGAAAAGCTGGGGTCTAAAACCATCGACTATACACTGGTTGTATAACACCGTGGTAAGGCCCATCCTATCCTATGGTTCTCTTGTGTAGTGGAACTGTCTGCGCCTCAAGTCGACATCCAGTAAATTAGACAAGGTACAAAGAGCCGCCTCGATTTTAGTTACAGGAGCCAGAAGGAGCACGCCACAAGCAGCTCTGAACGCAATGCTGAACTTTAAGCCTCTGGGCCTCAGCATTAAGTGTCAGGCCGCGCACAGCGCCCTATGGCTGCATGAACAAAACCTCTGGCGAAACTGTACCTTTGGGCATGGTAGTATTTTGAACGAACCAGGTATGTGTTGGACCAACGCGTTAAACTAAGCGACTATATATCACCAATCCTGAGATTTGACGATGTAGATGTTATTCCTAGTAGGGGCGACTGGAACCGAAGTAACCCTCCTCTGGGCGGTCTGGCCTTTTATACAGAGGGATCCAAGATGGAAGAAGGTACGGGGGCGGGCGTCTACTGTGAAAGGCTAGGCCTTAAGTTAACCTACAAGCTGGATTGCAACTGTAGTGTTTTCCAAGCTGAACTCTTCGCGATTTGGAAGGCAGCGGAATTGATAAAACGTCTGGATGCAGAGGTCGTTGACCCGGTGACTATCTTTGTGGATAGTCAAGCGGCTCATAAAGCCATCAAATCTTGTTATATCAAATCTGAGGCCGTCCTCAAGTGTAGAGCAGCTTTGGAAGATCTTACAGCTATCAGTTGTGTTGGGTACTAGGACATTGTGACATATTGGGTAACGAAAGAGCGGACGAACTAGCTAGACAGATTTAGCAACTGATGACTCAACCATTTGTCATTTTTACCGGAATTTTGAGGCATTCTTCGACGAAAGAGCCTACGAACTTTGACACAACGAAGCTATGTGCAACGTGTCAAGATCCATTTGGCCAACTCTGTCTACCAAAAGAACGAACTTTGGCACAACGTGTCAAGATCCATTTGGCCGCCTCTGTCTACCAAAAGAACGCACTCATTTTTGAACCTGAGCAAAGTTGAAATTAGAGTGATGACAGGAATCATTACTGATCACTGTAATATCAGGGCATTTACTAGTAAATGGGATCTTGATACAATTGATTATTGTAGACTCTACGTTGACGAGGAAGTGACGGAGACAATTGAGCGTCTTCTGCGTCACAGTCCAGCCCTGGCTTACAGGGGGCACATACTGGTGGTTGCTGACTTTCCACCGTGTCTAAGATTATATTCAACTATGGAACCTGCTTTAATCTACAGCATCATTAGAAACCTTAAGTGGTTGAGAAAGTGCAATTTTATTTAACTTATAATTTTATTTAACTTATAATTCGAAGCCTTCAGGCCCATTAAAGATAAATTACAAAATCTATATGAAGTGCTTAACTTAATAAAGGATAAACTACCCACTACACTTGAGGACGATTTGATGGCTTTAAGAGCCGTTTGATGGCTTTAAGAGCAGCATTAGGGTACTACGCGCCGCCTGACACTTAATGCTGAGACCCAGAGGCCTTAAGTTCAGCATTGCCTTGTGGGGCGGATATTTTCCTTTCGTGGATGATCACAATGGACCTGACGATGTCAGAGTACTGCAGCCACATTAGTGACGGCACATCCCCAAACCGAAGCTAATCTTGAAATACTGTGTATCACATGATTTTAAAGCATACTTTTAGACCGACATTTAAAATCAATATTAATAATATTCTTAGGATACTACCTCATGCAATGCAACAATAAAAAATAAACATTTTATACAATAACATTAAGCATTGGCTTATTATATTTATTATTTAATACCAAAATATGGTTTGCAAAATTGATTTAATCTTATACAAAAAATATGTAGATTTTTTCTTTTAAAAATGTTTCTTTTAAATTTCATTACCAACTAATATAACAACAATAAAATAATATTTCTAATTCAATTGTGTAGTACAAAATGATGTATAATATGTTTTGGGGGGAGGAGTATATATATTGTGTGATTATTTAGTGTATATATACTATTACTTTTTGTGGTAAGCAAATCAAATTTACAATTTCAAATATATATTGAAATTGATTATTAAATAAAAATAATATATTGGTTACAATTATCTATGAATGGGATTTGTTTTTTTATTGGAGCAATTGAAATTTTTAATTTCGTTTTACTAAAGAGAAAAAAAAAACATTTTCATTAGTATTCCAGAATATCCCAGACATAGATTATAATAAAAGAATAGTTTTCTAAATTATGTTAGTTTTTTCTTTCTTCTTCTCAAAGAAAATTCATTTAAATTTAATACTATTCTCAGGATGAAGAACAAAAAAACAATAATGAAATATTAAATTGTACTATTCTAAAAGTAAAATATAATACACAGTTACTTTATTAAGAGCTATTAGAATTAGAAAATAATTGATGAAACATTTCATAACCATATTGAAATAACCATCATTGGATGCGATTGCTGTCTGTTGTCGAGGAGTTAGCGTCACTTTCGTTCGTTTGCTTTGTCACATTCGTAGTATTTGTTTGTGATTTTCTCGATGATTCCGATTCGGCTTCCGTGGCTTCGGTTTCCTTGGAATGTGCCTCGGGACCCGACGTGTTGGCATGTTCTTCATCCGATTCCGTGGAATCTCTGATCAACGGGCGCATTTTATATAAATCACATGTTTCGTTGACATAACGATTAAAGATTTCCGGTTTATCGGCATAAACATGATGACCCGCACCATTAACAACTTTAATATCAACCACTGAATCACCACGTTGTGCTTTGATTTTTTCACCCGAAGATGAATCGATCCAGGAGCGGGTTCCATAAATGAATGTCATCGGTATATCGTGACGTACATCTTTAATACGATGGATCATGGGATGTTTGGCCCAGCCAAACGATTCCATCATTGTATGGAAAGCCGATTCGCCACTTGGATTCTGGGCATTACATTGATGTATATACTGTGGTATTAGGTTGATATCATCCTCAATGGTGGTGGAAAATTTACGCATAATATCTGGTCTAGTTTTCTGCACAACCCATTGTCCAAATGGTCCAGCTGCACGGAGAGCCCATAAGGGATTTAACGGGGTCAAAGCATGAGCCAATGCTCTCACCCATAATGGTATTTGTTTGCTGGACAATGCATCAGAGGGCTTTTCGGGAAAACCCCAGGGATCGGCCAATATCAGATGTTTAACTCTATCCGGATACGAGAGAGCATAACTTGATGCAATAAATCCACCCATAGAATGTCCTAGTAAAATCATATTTTTAATATTCATTTCACGTCTCCATTCTTCCACCGATTTAACAAATTGTTTTTCACATGTCAAGGCATCATTGCTAAACTTTGGCCGTGAACTACGACCAAAGCCCAAAATATCAATGGCATAGACTGGACGATCTTTGGCCAAAGCATCAAAATTCATAACCCACAATGCAACACCAGCACCCAAGCCATGCAACATTACCAATGGCACTTCTTTTGATTCTGTATTAAAGCTGACGGTCCATATTTTATCCGACTCCCCAATGGCTGGACCAATGTCAACAAAAAATCCACGATATGGTGTTTTCAGAAAGGAAAGAATTTTCTTTTCGACGGCTCTTAACATGGTCGGAGAACTTGTTGTCCAATTGCGTAGAAGTCTAAATAACCAAAATCCTTTGGGTTTGTAGTCCTTTTGTTGTGGAAGAAAAAAATGGAAATGTAACAAAAATTAGTATCATTTTGAAGCCATGTAAATAATTTCGTGATGTTTTACAGATAACCTGACGAATTTATATATGCTTGCTATATCTGAATCTATTTTAACCTATGGTGAACCAATCTGAAACCTATTTATCCCCGATTTCTTCAGAAATTCGAGAAGAGGAACTAATAAGTGCTATAGAAGTTTAATGAATATTGTGACTTTGTTCAGTCAGAAATCCTAGGACCGGATTCACGATATAGATTGCAATATTTATATATGTTTGGGATAAATCTGTATTTTGGTGTGTCAAATCTCACTATCAACAAATTATAATTAGTGAGCCATGTTTCAGGGTTGCATATAATGATGACCCCCAATATTCGGCATATTTGACACGTTTTTCAGCCGAATTGACTGTTTTGGTATTTTTTGGGTGCCAAATCTCTTATTGGGTGTCAAATCTCACTACCTGTAATTATCAATGTTAGAAGTATGGCTGTGGTTTGAGCGGACGATTTGAACATTCTGTCGAATGAGTTCCCAAGAATTCTGGGTACCTATTCATTGAGTAGCACTAGTATTCGGGGTACAGAATATTTGGCCACAGACCGACCAATCAGTCAACATGGTTTCAGCGCCTAAGAGACGCCGGTAAGCGACTTGAGGACTTTCTTATTATATTTCAACGATTTGAACATGCTGACGGATGTTACCACGAGAATTGGATTGAGATCGGAATTGTGTGCACCTAGACCTGTACATTCAAAGGCATTCTTATCCCCGTAGTTCACATGGTAAACAATATTGGCGAACATTTCGTTGCGGATATTTTCATATTCCTTGCGAGAAAGACGGCTGCTAAATCGGAGATATAGGCGCATAATGGCATCAGAAGCTATGGTACGCCGGTTCTAGTTAAGTCCTCGACTTCAAAGTGTGGAGATGGCGTGCAATGCTGTTGTTGTGCTGTGTTACGTACGGAAACCATGTTGATGATAGCTTTCACTAATGCTGGGGAGGAGGGACAACGACCTGGCACCCGATTCACATTTACTGGCACCCTTGCCTGTCTTCAGTAGGGGGACCACAGGTACATTGTTGGTTTTGGTGTAGCAACTGTCTACATGTTTGTTGTATTTTCCATTATTTCAGTTCTGACTCCCCTCTTTCCAGATTCAGGAAGGTTGCAATATGTACCGGCTGCGTCCAAAACGATACCGGAGATAGGTGAGTGGGTTTAGCATGACCGTTGAAGAGATGCAGCCTATCGTGAGGTCGAAGTCCGGACACAGGACATGTGTTAGGTACCGTGCAGTCAATTCGGGCCCAATACGAATTGAGGCGGCTGCATCATCCTGATGTTAATTGGGCTAAAAACACTCTCGTTTGTCTAGGCAGCTGTCCTTATTCTGCTGCTACAGGTTGTGAGTGGACTCCATTGCCTGGGTCACTGCTTCCGTGTGAATGCTAGTAATTCCTGCTCAATAAGCCTGTTGAACTAGGGGTTATCTTTTATAGTCCGCACACTGACCTTAATTGGGTACCGCGCCGTCAATTCGGGGCCAATACGAATTGAGGCGACTGCACCACCCTGATCTCGTTTGTCTAAGCAGCTGTCGTTCTTCTGCTGCTATAGGTTGTGGGTGGACTCCATTGCCTGGGTTACTGCGAATGCTGGTAATTCCGTGCGAATGCTCGTAATTCCTGCTCGATAAGCCTATTGAACTCTCTCTCTCTCTCGATAATGTAGGTCTCTCTTTACATGCCTGGGTGGGTGATAGCATGGATGATTCCCGCGATAACACCGATGTACGGGTAAGACCATTGCCTCCTCATGTAAATGGTCCACTGGCGTCATAAAGAGGCACCCTGTCGCAGATCTCAGGGCGGCATTATTTTTCCCGTCATTTGTTTCTATTTTTTCAATTGATTCACAACGGTTACAACGAATGTAATCATGTATAAAATAAAACCGGTCGACCCTTTTATATTCTCCATCTTAAGGTGGACCTTCAAAATAACTAAAATACCAAGATCCGCATAAATAGGCTGGACCTTTGTTTGGGGACTATACCCAAAGAACCTGATAGGAAAATTGTCTAGACAAGTAGAACTTATGTGTCTGAAATTATCACTTTATGATGCAGGTTATAAAAATGGCACGCACACACATACTTCGCCCTTGTACATAGCAATTTTCGGTGTAATTATTAATTTCACAATATTGCTTGTGATTTGCAACAATAATGGACAATTTACTAAAATATGTATTTTGAATAATGCAAGGGATAAATTATCAATTTAAATATTCATGTATCATTCCAATAGCTCTATCTTGAACGACATTCTGCAATTGCATATTTGAAAATAATACGAAATAGGTACACATTCACCTATTTGCCAGTCATTTTACTCTTATCTAATACCATATAACGTCATTGTTGAATTCTCATATTAAAAAAAATGAATTTGCCCTTTAATATTTAACAAAGTTATTTAACGTAATTTACAAAAAAACTGGGATCATAGTCAGGGATCGATGTGTGGTGGCTGGGTGTGAAACCAATAATAACAATGTAAATTATTTAAATTATTACTCAATCGTTTTGCTTGGAGGGGTGAAATATGCAAACGGACGGTCTATGACGTTCCCATTGTATTTGCGGCTCAGATATTCAGATTTTTTGTTTTTATGAAATTTGCTTCCTGGTGACGGATCTCTATTACGTTGTAGACTACGTTTTTGTTGTTGTTGTGTTAAATATTGACGTTGTTGCACACTTGATTCGGACAGTTCGACAGGAAAAAAACCAAATATACGTTTCTTATGTTTTGCTAGCTGTGATGCTTACCTCTACGTCCATTCCCTCTTTACTTGAAATAGCAACAGATTGACAATAGTTTGTCTGTGCCAGAGTCATCTTTGATATATATTTTTGTTTTGTTTTTATTCTCCTCTGTTTTATGTGAATTCTTTTTATTGGTGTTTTACAATTTTCTTAATTTTACTTTGCAATTTTTTTTTATTTGGCTTTCTTTCTGTTTTCTCTATAAGCAAAAAATTTAAAACAAATTATTGATTATTCTTTAAATTTAATAATGATTTCACCACAATTGCATGCCCCGTAGTAACGAGCGATCAACAATAAATTTAGAATCAGAATGTCGTCGGAGGCAAAATAATATTTTTCATTGTCAGAATGACTGCGAACAAACGACTATTATGACTATTTTTGTTTTGTTGTTTGTGTTTTCCTTCCTTCTTGCAGTGCAACGTATTTACAAGAAATATGAGTAGTTCTCTGTGAGAAGAGTATTATTTACTTTTTTATCATTTTATTCCGTCTGTTATTGCTGTTATTGGGGGTAGAGGTTCTAAGTCACACGCTTTGTTTGTTTGTCACACAGAAAAATACTGTTGCCGGAGGAGTACCGCTGTTATTGTTGTTGTGAGTTCTCGAATGTTAGAAAAAATTGATTAAAATTGGTTTTGCACCCCCCTTCAGCACAAAAACAACAACTCGTCTAGTTGTTTTTTTTTTTTGTTTTACAGTAATTATCATGTTTTGTTTTGTTTCTACTATTTGTGTTGTGGGATTCGTAGGCCGATTGTTGACTAATCGACAAAAATTAGTGTTAAGAAAAAAATCGATTTTTTTGATGGCGATTGAAGCACAGTGACCCAAAGAAAGTGCAATTGTTATACCCTTTGTGCATATGTTTGTAATGCGGTGTGCACACTAGCATTTTTGAATGACACTCTTGCCCAAATTTTGCTTGTTGATAGTGTGGCCTCACATGTTTGTCATTCATCAGGCAACCACAAAAATATTTATGGTTGTTGGACAGTCAGTAATCGATAAAAAAGTGGACAGTCAAGAATGATAGTGTGTACACCGCTTAACAGGCAAGAGGAACCGAGATAGACCCATGGTTCCTTTTCACAATATGCATAGAATTAATTTTTGAGCAGGGTGCGCAAGATTTCACTCGCGAATGATCCAAAATACATTCTTTTCTTTTTGTGCTCATTTCATTTATGGCGGTAAATTCTTTACCAAAGGAGCATTCGCCAAAAGAATGTTCGCATAAACATTACAAAAGAAAGAGAGCACACAATAACGATCGTTCGTTGCGGTGGTGTTTGAAATCATTTCTGACATTCATTCGCAAAGGGCAAAGAATGACCGAAAATGTTCGCGAATGCACATTGTGTTTAGTTTATTGTGATACATACATACACGCAGTCGGTATTTTTATATTTTGTTCTGATACGCAGTAAAATGGGCAAAGTGAAAAATATATATTTTTTAAAGTGTTGTGTTGGAATGGTGACTGTAAAAAATATTCCATTCCAAATTTTCGACGACGATCTGTATTTGAAGCCAATAATTGAACCATATGAAAATCAATTTAATTTAAACGACACATACATTAGAACTTTTTACCGGGTTAACCTACTTTATGAGGATTTATTTGACATATATGCAAAGGAATTGACAATTGAAACCCACTGGGTTACGAAATTCGAAATTCAAAAAACATTATTGAACACATAAATTGTTGATGATTTGATTTGTATTTATTGAGACTTCATTCATTTCATTAAAGATATGGTATTAACAATAAATATCAGGGACACTTAAAACTATCATGTATTATTCTAATATAATTACATAAAATGGGGATGCTAAATGCTTAAATATTCTTTAGATATGTAATTGTAATTAACAAATAATCAGTAAATGTAAAATGTAGTAAATGAGATAAATAGTGTTTGCACCCGACACTTGCTGTAGCGAATAGTTGTATCTATAATTTGATGTGCACTTATAACTAGGACCTATAACTACAAAAAAAAAAAAAAAAAATAAAAAAACTACCCCCTATGTGTTCCAGGTGTAGAGTAAAGTTTTGGCCCGATAAACCCTCCTTATTATATATACTATTCAATTAAACTCACGTTCGCTGTTTAAAATTTCCTGAAAAATAGACCCATTGAAATCGCCAAGTCTTTCTACGAATCGCTTCATCAAATCAAGTGAATATGCTGAAAGTCGTGTAATTTTGCTCTTATAAATGAATTCATTTGAATAAATTGTTTTTCAAACAATATTAAAAATTTTAAGTGATTATTTATACTCTCCTTAAATTATTCCAATTAAAAGGAAAGCCAGGAAAGATAATTATGCGTATTCGCCAATTTAACGGCTCACGTTCGCTGTTTAAAATTTCCTGAAAAATAGACCCATTGAAATCAAATTTGCCAATGTCTTTGTCTTCATTCTATGAACAGTCTCTTTCATTTTTGTTGTAGCAAATCACACACCTAAATTTCTTCTGGTATACACATGTTTTTTGCGCAGCCGTTTTGGAATTGTGTTGATGGCTCTTATAAATGTGTTGCGAATTCATTTGAATAAATTGTTTTTCAAACAATATTAAAAATTTTAAGTGATTATTTATACTCTTTCGAGTCGAGCTTGATGATCTAAGTTTTGCAATTAAAAGGAAAGCCAGGAGAAGAATTTACGTACCCACCATCATTATGCGACGCGTTTCGCCGTTGGTTAAGCGGCTCATGTGGCTTTACAAAGGTCGTACGTTGATAACTTGTATTTATTCCGCCCTGGTGCGAAACTTACATATGAGAATTAAATTCAAATTTGTCAAATTTCGACATTTGTCATTTAATTCGCATGTTGCTACCAGAGTTTCATTAAATTAGAAACTAATTCATTATATATGTTTAGGCAAGTTTCAAATAGAGGGCAATGTATTGATGCAGGTTCCCGGAGAACATACCAGATCAATTTTTCTTTTACTATTCATTTTATTTTTAATATTAAATCCAATACAAATAATTGTGTTCGTCCTTTGTTTGTTGTTTATTTTGGCGCAAATGAAATGATTTCTTGAATTAGCTGTTTATTTGCTAAATCTTACTAAATGTTGTATGTTTACTTTTTTCAGTATTATCGCAAAAGAAAGTAAAAAAGGCTTAGTACTGATTTATATTAGGCGAGTTTACTTGCGGCAATTTTTATCGTTCTCTTTTGAACTTGCTCCATGCGTCTATACAAGGCAATTCGGTTTCCAAAATATTTTTTTATTTGTTGTTTTTTCACATTTAAATATATATAAAATGTCAACAAATACGAAATACACAAAACGAATTGCCAGAAAATTGTCGGTACGAGCAATTTGATTTTCATTTCTATACCCCTTGCCCCTCTCTCCTACAAACAAAGACTTGCCGCAAGTAAACTCGCCTAATCTAAATCAAGACTTACTCTCTGAACTAGAACTTACTGAAGAAATGTTACTGGAAAAGTAACCAGACACACCTAATACCTGACAATGAGAATAATTATTACGAGCTGGTACACGGCCGACTAAACTTGGTAATGACAGTAGTACGATGCGCAGCATACACTATCCAATAGGCAGCTAATGATTGTTTTAAGGACATGCAATGTAAACTGGAAGATTGTAGAAAAGTTGTAAAACTTTTACGGACTAGCATAAAAAGCGGTCGATGCCCTGTAGATATTCGTTTGCCACCAATTGATAATATCACTCGATGGAACTCGACGTTTGATATGATGGAATCACTTCTCAGTTTTAAGGATCAAATAAATGAAACGATGTAGAATTTTCTATTGACTGTGAAATTGATTGGATCTTCATAAAAAATTTTGTCAATGTGTTTGCACCAATGGCCTTTACCTTTTCTACTTTTGCGTATAGGAGGGAATTGTTTGTACATTTGTCTCGTATTTGATGAAGTTGGCTTTGAAGAAATCGTTGATTACAGGTTGCATAGTGTTACTTTGCCTTTTTCTAATTCTTGGCTGGGGAGCCACCTTTATTTAAGTTCAATTGCATTTATATTATAGATTTATACATACATGATGTGTGTTGCTCTAGTATTGCTCTTGGGTTCGAGAGGGATATATAGTTTATTTTATGTAGGATTCCTTATGCTTTCTTTCCCCTCCACTTTTCTTAGCGAAAGTTAGGTAAAGTGCGGTGGATTGGGGTTCTTTTTTTTTAATTTGTTATATTAGCTGTTTGCATTAAATTTCATTTTGTAGAGTTATTGACTGTTATGTATTTTTAATTTATTTAGTTTATTCTTTGTTTGAATTGTTTTGTTATATAAGTTAATATAAGTTGTTGGCCATGCTGTTTTTTTATATTATATTGGTTGGCGTAGGGGATGATAGATACCAAGTAACGGCTCTAATTGGCTTTAACATGGCGAAGTCCAGGCTTATTTTGGTCCATCTTTAATCTCAATTGTGGAAACTGACCTCCCTGCGATGCCTCCTGGGGAGATATTCTCATCACCCACGATGAAATAATGAGCCGCGAGTCCACCCATAAGAACTGTAAAAAAATGGGTTGAGGCGTCGGGTTAGTTGCCCCCCTATGATAAAGCTAAGAAAAAGAAAACCAAACCCCCATAATGTTGACGACCCCCGCAAATGTATAAAGGACTACGATCTGCGCTTGGAATGTGCGCACGTTGTACAGAACAGGCGCAATGTTCGCTTTGGCGGATATACTCAAGAAGTACAAAGCCGGTATTATTTCCCCATAGGAAATGCAATGGAAAGGGACAGGCGTAAGTAAATCAGACGATTACGCCCTGTATTATAGCTCTCATGAAACGAGACATGAATTTGGCTGCGGATTTATGGTTACCAGGAGAATAAAAGACCTTGTCTCCAGATTCACTCCAGTAGATGAACAGACCAAAGACATATTTTACGAGCGCCTAGAAACAGCATATGACCGTTGCCCTGGCCATGACATTAAAAATCTGCTAGGGGATTTTAATGCAAAAATTGGGAGGGAAAATATCTTTGGCCCCACCGTCGGAAAATTCAGCCACCAGATTCAAGCATCTCGATATACATAAGGCCACCTGGATCTCTCCTGATCAAGTAACGAGAAATCAAATTGATCATGTGATAGACGGAAGGCATTCATCCAGTGTTTTAGACCTCCGATCGATCCGAGGAGCGAATATCGATTCTTATCATTACCTTGTGGCAGCCAAGGTACGCACCTGTCTTAATGTTGCAGCAAAGGTGCGATCTAATACAACACGGAAACTCGACGTCGAAAAGCTGCAAACACAACTCCGCTCAACTTACCCATCTGCTTGAAGAAAGCACTTCTTGTCCCGATAATAGTATAGAAGCACAATGGCAAAGAATTGCCTACTCCCTACAAACTGCAGCAAAAGGAACAATTGGGTACCAAAAACCACCACAAAGAAACCCATGGTACGATCAGGAGTGTCGTAATGCTACTGATGTGAAAAACGCAGCGTATAGGGCAACACGCAGACATTGCTACTGTCTGCGTGTTGCCCTATACGTGATGGAGAATTAACGTAACATGATGGAGAATTATCGGGAGAAAAGGAGAGAGGAGAAACGTGTTTTCAGAAAAAAGAAGAAAGAAAGAAAGAAAAGAAAAACGTGAGCGTGAGCAATGTACAGGAGTCAGAATGAAGTCCGGAAATTTTATTAGTAAAACATTAAACCGAAGTCTTTGGTGCAGGCACATCCTCCTGTAGAGATGAAGAAGGAAACCTGGTGACAGCATTTCGAAAAGCTTCTGGTATCAAATAGTGGCGATGAAAGAGATACCCCAGAACCAATTAGAGATGATGGTATAGAGTGTATACCACCTATCCAAGATGAGGTCATAAAATCAATTAATCGGCTCAAGAACAACAAAGCAGCAGGAGCCGATGGGTTACCAGCCGAACTATTCAAGACTGAGGGCCAGATGCTGGTCAGGAGCATGCACCAGCTGATTAGCACAATTTGGCTAGATGAATGCAAACAAATAGGTCAACCCAATTGAAACCCACTGGGTTACGGAAATCTGGGGGGTTACTCTGTATTGCGTTGCGAAAGCAAGTGCGATGCGAAAGCTAAATGCGTTAAGAGTACAATTTGGTACTCTGTAACGTTCACGCAAACGCATTCGCAAACTAAATTGAAAATAGGGCAACACTGTCGCCACAAAGTAAACAATAACGAAGAATGACAAAAGGAAACGTCAAAAAATTGTAAATGAAAACATATTTTTGTGTGGTACGAGTGAACGAATTAAAAAAAAAAGAATTTTATGAGATCTATCAAATATACTCTCCCTAAGTGACCACGGGTATGAAAATATAAGTACGAATTTATTATGTGACAAATGTTTTCAAATATTTAATTTTTATAGATTTATATAAAATGTCTCAATAAAGATTCGTTTATGTATTTTTTAAACGCTCATCGTTTGAAATATATCCATAACAATTCCAACTCCAATAAAAGAGGCCGCTGCTTTGAAATTGCTTGGACAAGGTGGTTATCAACACCAACCTATAAATATGCACACATAGTTTCACATTTTATATAAAAAAAATAATATATTACTTTTTCCAACCACCGACATCTTTTACAGGAGGTCAATTTGAATTGAGGTCATCAGACAGTTTTGTCCACAAATTGTTGGCGCGTTGTTTCGTATTTGAACTCTGCAACTGTCCCTTTGCCAAATCACTGTGTTGCCCCATAAAATCTACTGAAATTAGGAACTGACGTTGCTGAGCCTGTAACTGTGACTTTTTTGCTGTAAATAAAACCTTTAATGGAGCTTACTTATATGTTTCGCTTCCTTTGCGTTTGCTATTTTGTTAACGCAAGATATTTGCGCTTAACGAACGAGTTTGACATGCGTTTTCGTATTACAGAGTGCGGTGATGCCACATTTGCGTAAAGTAGATGCGAAAGGAGATACGAAAACGAATTAGAGAGTACCAATTACGCGATGCGTTACAATTTTTCTCACGCATCGCAATACAGAGTAGCCCCCCTGGTTAAATGTAAACGTACTATAAAATAGGTTTAGGCTGACAAAAAAGTCAAAAAACAAAACAGGAACAGGAGACGGCCCAAACAAGAAGAAACAATTATCAAGCACCGAAGAAGCTATCTATAATCTTATTGAAATTAAATCGTCTGATGAAGAGACGCAGTGAATACTTAATCCACTTAGGACAAAGGAGAGGATAGAACTAAATGTTGATAGTGCCATACTAACATCAGAAACTTTCCAAAGCCAGTTTGATATCCACCTTCAGCAAAAAACGTAACTTTTATGCACTTACAATGATTTGTCAATTCAAGAGGATTGGAACTATCTCGCAATTGCCTTCTTGACAATCTTGTAGAAGTTCTTTGTTGTTCTCTGGATTTTTCTCTCGAGAGAAATGCTTTCCGTAGGAATAGAATTTCTCCCACATTTTGACGATTGACGGAAATGATTATTTAAATGAGTTACAAACAGAAAAACACCATGGTGGAGGGTATAAAAAATGGTTTAACAACTTCGTTTCACAGATAAAGAATTTAAATCCCATACTTTTGAAACCACGAAATGGATAAACCATTATATAGAGGTCAAAGCATCTTTAAAAAATTAAAACAACATTTTCTTAAGCATATTCTTTATTTATATATCTTGAAAAAATATTATAAGATACATATACGCATATATATATTTGTGTTTGTATGTAAATGTAGACTATATACAATTTCACTTAAATTATCTAATTAAAAAAAGTAATAAACGAAAAAAAATAGGAAGAGATGTAAGCATAATTAAATATAGGAGAGAAAAGCTTAAAAAGTAGAGTTCAGTTGTTTTTTAGTATTTACAAATAGTTGAAATAGAAAATTTTGGTTGACATTTTTTTTTAATTTTCAACCGCAAAGGGAAACACAATAAATATGGGCTTATAAAAAATATAAGGCGAGACAAATCAGAACTAAAGTCTTTTTTGATATAATCACTTTTTTTGAGGCCACAACAAATTAATTGATGTTAGATATAAAATAAAAATTAAATAAAATGTGTAATTTTCTCTGCCGAAACGTTAATTTGTGATCTAGGTTACTTAACTATAAACTATAGTATAGAGTTAAGTAAATGTTATATTAAAAAATATATATATAAGTATTTAACACAAGGGAGCCTATGATGCCAGTTGTTAAGAAAAAACTGTTCAGCATGTTTTTTTTTATAGAAATTGACGGGTTAATATGAAGTAATTGTCTTTTTTAATTTGATTATTTTGCAGTAGAAAAGGTAATGACAAAAAAAAAAAAAAAAAAAAATATGAGACATGCCGTAGTTATCAAATAGAGAAGCCGAAAGTACATTACAAAACTGAGAGTACATGTTTTTCACTTCGATTTTTTAATGAAACTTTCTCTATCATCCGACTTATTTAATGAAAAATCAAATCAGATCTGTTTTCGACAATTCCGACCATCAACATTGTTTTCAGATTATTAAAATTTAGGAAGTTAGTGAAGAAAAAACCCGATAAACTTAGAATTCTTTCAAGAAAATTTGCAGTGTCTGCTTTCGAAAATTTTGAAAAGATAGGACACCGTAATACAGCTCTACTTAGTTTACTGGTAGGACAAACCGAAATACTTTCAAAATTGCACTTCTGGCCCCGTTGCTGACTAAGTCATGTTAAAATCAAATCAAAACGACTTTTAGAGCGATGGGAAAAAACCAAAATATTCCAGAGGAAAAGTATTCTATTTTGAGGTCTCTATTTTACTGGTCTGATTGTTGTGTTCGTTCAATCTGCTCACAAGCTTCTGTATTCCGTTTAAGCATCTACATTATTGACACTACACTGGGAACTGGCATCAAAATCGGACACTGAATCTGAACCATAACCTCCAAAAACTCCAGAAGTCGCACCACCCGCCACACCCGAACTATTTGCCGCGGGAATTGATGTTGTACCCGAACCATTATATGAATGTGGTCCCATTGGTGTGGCATTGTGGGCATTTCTAGGCTTTAAAACATCCGGTATATAGACCGGAGTTGGACCAGCAATTTCAACAATGCTGGGTCTTCGTGCCTGTGTACAACGTTTTATGGGTGACATAAAGGTAAATAAGGTCAAAGTTATTATTAAGGTTATACTTAGAATTATGGCTCTAGCCATGCCTGAGCCTCTGACTGCCGATATCATAGCCATAACTAGCAACAAAATCACCACCGAAAATTTCGTCATTGTTACAGCGGTTGAGTGTATCTTACCGCCATTGCGTGAGATCATATTCGACGGGCCATAGGCAAAATAGAGATTATAGCGATCGACAAAATGTTTAAAGCACACATAGACCATGGCGAAGGGCATAATCAGGGGACAGAAGACACTGTACACAGTGGAAATGGTAAAGACCAATGTTGACCAGGCGTAGTGGGTTCCGAAGGGAAATTCCAGCAATATAGATTTACGAATATAGGGTGTTTCCGCCTTCGACTTGGCCGTTATCAACATATAAATGTACACAATCAATTCGGGGAATCTCAGCAATTCCAATGAGGTACCGATAAAAGCCGAAGTTATAATATAATTGACATAGAACGAACCGCGATCGGGTACAAAGAAACATTCCCAACGTAGCGATTCATCGCTGACCGACCATTCCAATAGCGCTTGGGCTGATGTTAAACCCAATGAGGGTAATATCAAAATCATAAATAACAAATAACCAAAACATTTCGTCATTATGGAATAGTTCTGTTTCGACTTCGTGTAATGGCTCATCCATTTGTCGGAGAACGCAACAATGACCGGCATCAGAATGGACAAAATCCACAGCATAAGAGTAGGTAAAAATTCCGATACTAAAGGTGATAGAGTGAAGATTTTATCTCTGGCCAAAGCCACACTGTTCAGAAGATTAACCACCATGGCGGGAGTGGTTAAGAAGAATAGCGTCACAAACAAGATAATATTCACCGTGAGCCATTTCAACATCCAATGACCACGACTAACATTAAGATTTTCCCAAAATAAATCATTAGGTGAGGGTGCGAAGGATAGATGCCATTGTCTATAGGTTCCCGGTGTAAAATGTGCAACAATATTTTGTGCTTCCTGCACTGTGGACACGGTGAGGAAAGCAATGCCCAGTGGTTCGTTTAGGGCAGCAGCCCTTAGCCGGCAAACATCACCATGCAAGGCACGTTCTTCACGTTGATAATATTCGTAGGCATTTTCGGTTTTACACGAACACGTTTGTGTGCGCACCTGAAAGAGATTGGGGGGTAATTAATAAATGGTTAGAATAAGGATGGGGATATTTTGAATATAGAGGTAATTATACAACAATACAAAAAAAAAAACGAAGAAGAGCAGAAAATCTGCACTCAGCTTGGGAAATATTTTTCTGGGCTGGGCCGACTATATGCTACCCTTCACCACTTTGCGTATATTCTACATATTCTCCTAACAGACGTCGCCTTTTCGAAAGAACATTGACATGAAATCGAACGAAAGTCATATAAGAAATTTGGTGCACCATTTCTATTAATTCGGACGAAAATATATATGGGAGCTATATCTAAAATTGAACCGATTTTCATGAAACCTAGCACACATCATTATAGACTCAATTCAGTACGCTACTCCAAATTTCGTTCATATCGAAAGATATTTAGGGACTTTGGCGCACCATTTACCTTGAAACGGACGAGAATATAAATGGGAGTCATATCTAAATATGAACCGATTTCACGAAACTTATCACACATCATTATAGACTCAATTCAGTACGCTACTCCAAATTTCGTTCATATCGAAAGATATTTAGGGACTTTGGCACATAATTTATCTTGAATCGGACGAAAATATATATCGGAGGTATATCTAAATCTGAACCGATTTCCACGAAACTTAGCACACATCATTCTAGACTTATTTTAGTACGGTATGCCAAATTTCGTGCTAATCGAAAGATATTTAGGGACTTTGGCGCACCATTAAATGGGAGCTATATCTAAATCTGAGCCGATTTTCACACAACTTAACACACATCATTATGGACTTAATTCAGTACACTATGCTAAATTTCGTTTATATTGAAAGATATTTGGGGACTTCAGTGCACCATTTATGTAAAATCGGACGAAAATATATATGGGCAAATCGAAAGATATTTAGGGACTTTTACCTGTTACAAACATATGCACCACAGTGTGGTGAAGGGTATAAAAATATTTTTCCCAAAATTCTACTCACCACCAAACTATCACGATCCCGATGTTGTTCACAATACATTTTTGCATCCCACACCCTTTCATATTCAGCATTGCGGACATAAAGTTTCGATATGTTATAGGCGACCTGGACATCTTCGATGCTAACATCAGGAAACAATTCCTGTATATAATTCCTAATCACCGTCTTATTACGATCATTGGGTGATATATTTGTTATCATTATGGTACGTGTGGCAGCTTTCTTAAATGCATTACGACCCGAAGAACGACGCATTATCAAAACAATCAGAGGTACATATATAATCGCAACAATGACATGTACCCACAACCATGCCGAATCGGGTGGTATATTTGACATTGTTGTGCGAGCAAATGAATTAACATCGTTGACATTATTCGCCGGACCATTGAGAAAATTCACCGGCAGTATGACAACCAATGAAATTGCCGTTATAATGGCCATAACCAACATTAAATGTTTTTGAAACGACAGATAGTAGACAGCATCGGGTCCTGTGTGCAGCAGAACTTGTTCTTTTCTCAACTTCAGTGTTATCATTATCCATGAGAATATACCCTGATCATAGCTAATGGGTGATAATGGTGTTGAGTCGGCTGTTGAATGTGAGGTAATACTACCACGGGGTTCATCCAACCCATTAGCATTGGTACTCGATGATGGTTGCGAATCATCTCTGTGTGCTGCTGCTCCATTACTGGACGTGTGAGGTTGTTCAATGAGGCTGGTACCACGTGAATAGAAAATTTCAGTCCATCGTTTACGATTGCCACCATTGTTAACCAATGCCAAACGGCCATAATCGCCAGCATGATGCCGTAACACAGTGAATAGAATTATAAGTAGGACCCAGGCCGATACGTTTAGAATTAATGTTTCGGGTATACCATTGTAGGCATTGGTAATAACTGTTGTTTTATTGGTCACCGAACAATTGTAGCTTGAGCCATCATCAAAACTTCGAAAATTGAAAAATGACTCCATGGCTGTTTGGAGTTATTTTCTGTTCGTTTGTTGGTTTGGTTTTTTTTTTGTGGGCGGAGTTTTTTTCTTTCTTCAGAATTGATTTTTCTGTTGATTCACCAAATACTGCAATGAAAATGAAGAAAAAATGGGAATTAATTAGAATAAAAGAATATTATTAAATCATGTTTTAATCATAAGAATATTAATTAATATTTAGTCATAAAATATTATTATAAAAGTTTACAAAATTGGAGCTAATGGGATAGCTGGGAAAGGAAGCAATCGTGACTTTAAATAAGTCTAACTTCCTTTCTGTTGTAAATAAAGTTTTAAATGTCTCCGAGAGGAGCGGCTGAAGATGAGTTTACATTATGGTAAAAATTTTCGTAGATGATGATAACCATAAAATTAATATTGGTAATAGTCAGAATGTGTCACAGCAATGGTCTATGGGTAAATCTCGAAGCCGAGGTAGTAATTTTCACTAATAGGCTTTAAATTTCACCATACCATTTCACACTATCGTCCATGGCTAAAGCCATTAGAGGTTTTCTCACCTAATTAATTAATTAATATATTTTCCTTTTCCTTCTTCCGTTTTCTTCTATCACATTTTTCAGGAAAGAACTTTCGTCAACAGCCAACCTGTTACAACAACAACCATAGTAAACAAATCTGGGGTTTACAACTGCAGATCACATAAATCGGAGTCAAACTTGCACCATTGAAATTCCATTTGGACATTGTGACATCTTCCAATTGGAATTGTTGAAAAATAACGGAATCTTCGTCTACTCATGCAAGTGTTTTATCGGAGTCAAACAACAGACCTAGCCAACGTAGTCGCTGCAGCTCGATCCGTCTGACTATATCGATGGATGTTCGAGAATAGATGGTATAGCTCATGGTTCATGTGACAGCGATATTCCTCGTCGACTCAGATTGGCCCATAGATCTTCCGGAAAATGTTCTCTCAAACACTCCAAGAGCTGCCTCATCTGCTTGCGCAAGTACCCATGCTTCAGATCCATACGACTGCTCGGTAATATCAGCGTCTTGTAGAGCGTGAGTTTGGTCTGGCGAGAGGTGGTCTTGCTTTTGAGTTGCTTACTCAGACCATAGTAGCATCTGTTTGATAACACTATTTTCCTCCTTCAAAGCTGATGTTATTAGTTTTGTTTATGGCGGTACCGAGGTAATAAAATCGTTCACTACATCGAAGCTGTAGTTTTCAAGTTCCACAGTTGGTCCTAGTCTTCTGGACGTTTTGCGCTTGGTACCATCAGATTGGTCATCTCGCTATTTACTGTCACTCCCACTTTGGCAGACTCCATCCTAATTCATTCAAATTCGTTCGACGCTGTCGTCGGCGTAGGCGAGTAACATATGCTGCTTGGTGTATAGAGTGCCATTTTTTGCACACATTTGCATCTCGTATGACCTTTTCCAGCAGGATGTTAAACAGGTCAAACTGTCACCCGTTTCCATAATAGAGGGGTCTACGATCCGAAACGACCCGAGTCTTACTCGGCCAACGTCTGTCACTTCAGCCTATTGTGTAAAAGCAATAGGGTTGCTACAACAACAAACTCTGACCTTGTCTGAATCCTCATACGGTATTGAAGGGCTCCAAGAGGTACTTTCCGACTTTAACTGCAGACCTTGTACCACTTAACGTTATCCTGCATAGCCGTATTAATTTTGCCGGAATGCCAAACACAGACATGACTTTAAACACCTCTGAACGGATAGGGCTGTTAAATGCGGCTTTATAGTCGACGAATAGGTAAAATGTGTCGATGTGGGTCCAATAATGTCATTGACCATTGGTTTCAGTCGTTCATACGGCACGCTGGATAGCACTTTATATGCGATGGGGAGGAGATTAATTCTAATTAATTCTCTATAGTTGCACATATCGTCTTGTCTCCTTTTTTGTGCACGCGACACAGAATGCTGAGGTTCCAATCATTGGGCATGCATTTCTCTAGCCAAACGGTACTAATCAGCTGGTGCAGACTCCTGACCAGCATCATTCCACCGGTCTTGAATAGTTCGGCTGGTAATCCATCGGCACCTGCTGCTTTATTGTTCTTCAACCGATTAATACAATCTGAGTGCTGCCTCTGCCGCGCATATAGCGATAGACTTAAGACAATCATGTCGCGGAGTATAAATAGAACAGCTCTGTGAGGTAAATTTTTTGGTCAGGTATAAAATATCTGGGTACAGAATATATAGAAATTTATTTGAGCGGAGATTTAACTTTAAAGACTCAAGTTGAAATGGAAATCATCTTGGAAAAGGTACGGGATTATAAATCGTATTTCCATATCGGATGTTAGTGAAGACTAATTCTTCCTCTTTTAAATGGTGTGTTGTTCCTCAAAAATAACCCCACACTCTCTTCTTTCCTTCTTTCTCTTCTCACAGACAACAATACATGGAAGATCGGCGAATAGAGCTGCTGTTATGTTATTCCGGGAATAGAGCCCATTTTAATCTAAAGTTTTAACTTTATAACATTTTTACTTCAATTTTTCGCATCAAAATTATACAAAGAAAAATCAAGTTCCTATTTTTTGTTCTAAACAATGGCCCTACATTGTCTCAACAACCAATGACACCAAATGAGAGATGCTCTAATAAATTTCATAACTTCGAGATAAGAACGTAAACATAATACCCCGGCACATTCATGTTTTTTTTTGATCAGAGTCAGCGCCGCAACCCGACATTCCACATGCGATGAGATTTCTTGTTGACCGATGACGACAACAGTAGAGTATCTATTATTTTGTATTGAAATTATGCCGACATGTCTGCTGCACTCTGGAGCAAAGAAAGTGATAAAAAATTGTTGATGGTTTTATTATTGCTGCAATTTTCCGCCAAGTGACAATGGTGTGTGTATATTAAATAATTTTGCATGCTTGGGAACCGAATGTTTACAAAAACAATTTTTTTATTTACATATATATTTTATTGTATTTTTCCTTATTGTGTTATCAATTTAGGTCGAAATTAATTAGAAATGCATGAATATAAGTGCATTAACATGATTGCATTGAAATTATAGTAATATTATATATTAGAAAAATTATTTCAGAGAGAGAGAGAGAGAGAGATGGAGAGAGAGGGGGACAAACACAATGGTCAATTGGACTGTTATTGTGAAAGTGACAATGGGTAAATATTATCATTGTTCAAATATGACAAATATTAGGTAAAATTGAATGGGGTAAAATCTTCTAAAATAATTAGTAATTGGACTAACAATGACCATATAAATGTTTGCAAAATTAAGTCTATCATTTTACGATATAGAGAAAATGATATTTTGTAGCGTTTTTAGAAAAAATAAATAAATAAAACAAATAATTTCAAATTTTATTGAAGGAAATGAATATTCCATCAGCATCCACATTATGTTAAAATATTATTCCCATGATGTAAAATGCTTGTACAAGTTTATCTACATTAAACAAATGTTGTAAAACAACCAGTCTAGGTAAGGCCAGATAAGGTAAACATGTTATCCAGTTTGTCCAAAAAATTAAACGATAAACATTGTAACAATTGGTAGATGAGAAAATCAACTATAAACCAGTAAGGAAAGTTAAAAAATTGGACGGTACCAACTATATGATACCATTCACCATTTTGGGTACATACAAGATTAGCTATATGTACAATATCCTGTAGATAAAACATACATAACATATAGCTAATAAAAAGTATTAGGAGGAAGGTGGGAATAGTTTCGATGGTATATATAAATTGGACAGAAAATATATTACGTGCTAAGGTTGCACTTTCCTAACCACTTTATGTTTCTAATGATGTTGTAGATTAAAGCAGGTTCCATAGTTGAAAATAAGCTTAGAGACGGTGGAAAGTGAGCACCCATGCCAGAACTGGACACCGACACAGGAGATGCTCAATTGTCTCTGTCTCTTCCTCGTCAGCACAGAGTCTGCAGTAATCAGTAACATCATGGTTCCATTTACTGGTAAAGGCCCTGATATTGCCCTGATTTTAGCTTTACACAGGTTCAACAGTGAGTTTGTTCTCTTGGTTAACAGAGTCGGCCAGATAGATCTTGACACATTGAACCTAGGTTCGTTGTGCCGGACTTTATTAGCTCGTTTGTCGAAGAACGCCTCAAAGTTTCGAAAAAGACTGCAGATTGGTGGTTTGATTGAGCAATCGATTGCTAGATCTGTAAATTGAGATCCTCGTCTCGCTAATTCGTCTGCTTTTTCATTATTCTCGATGTCACGGTGTCTTGGTACCCAGCCAAGACACAGCCGATAGATGTAAGTGAGTGTTTCCAAAACTGCTCTACACTCAAGGACGACCTCAGATTTGATATTACAGGATTTGATGGCTTTAAGAGCCGCCTGACTATCCACAAATATAGTCACCGGTTCAACGATCTCTGCATCGAGGCTTGTTATCAATTCCACTGCCTTCCAAATCGCGAAGATTTTTACTAGGAAAACACTACAGCTTGTAGGTAAGCTCAAGGGTAGCCTCTACTGAGGATAACGACATCTATATAGTCAAATCTCAGGACTGCTGATATATAGTCGCTTAGTTTTACGCGTTGGTTCAATGTTATACCTAGTTCGTTCAGGATACATCCATGCCCGTAGGTACAAATTCGCCATAGATTTTGTTCATGCAGCCTTAGGGCACTATGCGCTGCCTGACAATGCTGAGACACATAGGCCTTAAGGGCAGTTATTAGAATCGAGGCGGTTCTTTGTACCTTATGGCTAGCAAATTACTCCAAAATTATAAATATAGGTCAATTGTAGCCCTCATATAAGCGTACCCTTCAATTTTCGTTATTTTTGGGTTCTTGAGCGCGTATTTCAACCGAATACGCTGTAATTTGGTATTTTGTATTCGCATATGGTAACAAATCCCTCTACCAAAAATTATTAATATTCGCTCGCTTTCAGTTGTAGTCCCCATATAACCCCCTTTAATCTAAATCAGGTCTTTAGTGTACCATTTCCATTT